AAGATCTGTCTACCTCACCCTTTTCTCTTTCTCTAAGTTTTCCCATAACTCAGCTCGAGTCTTTTTTGCTATCTTTTCGTGCTCTAAGCTCTCTCGTAACTCATTTTCTCTTTGGCCCAACTCCTTAGTGAGCCCCACTGAGCCCCACTACTGTTCGTTGGAGCTCCTTATTGTCGTTATCTTTCTTCTCGAGCTCAGTCTTCTGGAAGTCTATTGCTCGCAGAGCAGAATTCCTTTCAATCAAATACATATTCGCCTGAATATGGGCAACCTTTGCTTCTTCGTCTGAAGCCACAAAATCTTGCTTTAGCTTAGTAATCTCCTTCTTCATCTAGTGGAGCTTGCTAGAAGAGCTGATCTTCATCTTGTTGTGGGCCACATTTAGGGTGAGCAAAGACTGCATGGAAAGGAATAAAGAGTTAGTTTTTTCTTAAAAAGCTAAAGGATCGACTTATATGAAAGAGTTCTTGAGGAGAACAAGTCATCTTACCTGACTTTGCATTTAGAGTGCAGTGGCCACTAGATCGACAGGTCGAGAGGCCATGTACCTGTCAAAGGTTGTGGCAAGTTGGCATTCCAAAAGGGTGTAAACCACTGGCCGTAAATGGTCTAGTAATTGCCCTAAAAGATCTAACACAGATAGATCGAGCCTCGTTGTGGTAGGGACCCCTTCAACTTGTTCCTCGCCTGCTTCCCCCTAAGTGGCCGTGGTCGTTCCCTCTTTCCCTTGCAAGCTCCCAAGGGTAGTCAAGGTCTTGGGAGCATCCCTCGAGGTCGTCCTCACAAAGAAGAGTTGATAGGGCTATAGCTTATCTGGTAATATCCCGTAGCCTTCTGATTCTGATTCAGTTTCTTTTTTGATAGGTATTGTCTTTCTCTTCTTCGTTTTCAAGGTCGTGGTCTTTTTCCTCAACGAACGAGCAGCGGAAGGCTGGGGAACTTCTCCACGTTACTTAGTAGGTGGTTGCCTTTTAGCTCCAATTTGTATCCCCGTTGCAAGGACATTGCTGGAAATCGCTCCAACTAGTTCAGTTGGATTAATTTTGGGGGATGTGAACCCCCCAGACTTCTTCGTCATCTTTGTAACCTTTGGTGGCATAGTTGCTGCATGGCATACATACACATCAGCAAAGAGAGTCTTCTTTTATTAAAAAGACTTAAGTTTTTCTTCGAAAGAAATACTTACGAGTTGAACCATCCAAATATGCATCTGGACTAAAAAACCCATATTTTCGAAGGTTAGCAGTAGTCACAAGCAGCTTTGCGTCGCGACTACAGTCAAGTAATTGACCAAATGCTTCGATGCAGCTACGATCAACTAGCACCGACAATTTGGTTGTTTTGTTTCCTGTAAGAAATCAAAAGGTTTGTTAGCCTAATGTGTTAAGGAAAGTTAAAGTTAAAAGATAAGTGATTTGGAAATTAAAAGGAAAACCTACTTGGTTCCTTAAATTTATAGACTCTATCATACTCAAAGAAAAAATACTTGGTTTCATAAACCCCTACATTGGTGGGTAACCAAATACCCCTTATTCGATCGTTGATCACTTGGAGAGGTAGTAAGACTCCTTGTCTTTACTCTTCTTTAAGTAATGGGCGCAGTCGAGTTCCTCTACTGTTGGCTCACTGAGGTTGTGTTCACCAAATGCAATATACATAGCGACCACTATCATATATGCATTTGGTGTCAACTGAAATGGCACGACCTGGAAGTGGTCGAGAATTGACCTGATGTAGGGGTAAAGGGGTATCCTCACTCCACATTTAAAGATTGCTTTCGAGATCGCGGCCATTCCCTTGGGAAGATCCTAAGCAATGTGTGACTTGTGTTGGAACACATTTACAATGATTGTGTACTGGTCTATTGCTTTCTGAATTTTGTCCTTCTTAACTGTTCATCGTATCACTTTTCTAGGACCTACTGAGGTGCCCGGTGGTTGCGAGCTTCTAAGACCCACCGAGATGCCTAGTGGTTGCGAGCTTCCCTTTTCAGCTGTTCTTGCCTCAGGTGTGTCCATTGCCCTTAGAGTCTGTAAAGGTGTGACATGTAAGGGTGACTCAAACTCTGCATAAGTTACCTCGTACGATGACTCAGAAGAGTAAAAGAACCCTGGTTTCTGTTCTATAGCCGCCAAAACCCTAAAAATTCTTAAGAATGATTTCCTAAAGATTTGTGCCCAAAGTTTCAACTATTAAAAGTGTTCTTTCCAAATACTACCCAAGAATGTTTATCATCTAAGCCTATCAGACGTCCATACCCATCATTACTGTAAAAACTAAGCTTTTTGACAAAAATGAAAAAGAGAAAAAAGGAAGAAATTTCTTTACCTCTTGATTGTTGGGAATGGATGCTCTGTCATAGCGTTGAGTGCACATTAACCAGGAAGAGGATGAATTGATTTTTTGAGTGCAAAAACGCTTTTTGTCTCATTGAAAATTTGAGTTCTGTGAAAAAATTAGAATGGGCTTTGGGTTTTTTAAGGTGGAAGATGACACTTGGTTTCTTTTATAAGCAACGTTTGGGTGGGAACGTGTTTCTAGCCATTGATTGTGACCACGTGTCACCAATCTGTGCGAAGAGTGACCTTCACGCTTCGTGAAGATCAATCGGTGTTTCTCTTTATTGAAATTGCCAAGCGTTGGCGTGATTATCTCCTCCACATTAAATACGCCCTCATCTGCATTTAATGCTTCAAAAGGGAATGTCGTTTCAGCATGGCTTGCATTTAATGCTCATGGCTGACACTTATTGCACAGAGACATGCATGTCAGATAAAGCTTATTTTATTGACCAAGACAACTGTCAAGCATAACGGATAACATTCGAGGAGGTCGTTCGAATAAGACAGTTTTTCCACATGTCGGACTTGAACACTGAACGAGATGATTCTCAGTTTTCGACAGCAAAGTGTTCTAAGTGTTTTCAGGTCGTGAATGATAGATAAAGTTTGAAACACATTTTTATAGCATTGATCAAGATATGGCTCAGGTCGTTAGACCTTTGTTAATGATCACGTCAAGTCGCTTGTGTAATTCTTGAAACCACACTCAATTCGCTGGTCAGATCAAACCATCAACCTCATGTCGTTTGTAACAATGCGGTTGTTCTCAACTATTAGTTCGGGCAGACATAAGTCAGATCGCGGCATAATCATGAAGTTCTCAAGATTCAATCCTTGAACCTTAAGAATTGGGGAGCTTTTGTTATGCCTAAAAAACCAGGGCTAACATAAGCTTACGTTAACGAGCACCAATCAGAGTTCAGGAAGGCTTTGCGTCATCCAGGTGTTGCGACGTTACCCCAAGACAGAAAGAATATTGTTGTCATCAACTTAGCAGATTCAGGTTTTGTCTATGAGTGACTAAGGACCGCACACCTGTCCAAGCCCCAGATAATTTGAGGATATTTCCTAAGTTATCAACCAATGGGAGGCAAAGAAGGACTTGCACGGCACCTACCCACTTGCAGATTTGTAATCATTACCTTGAATTCCTTTACTATAAATAGAGGACTCCCCCTTTCATTTTCGGGATTCTGATACTGAACCCTCATTTTGATTGTAATCTTTATTTTCAAAGCAAAGATAACCTATGAGAAAGAGACTAATTTGATATTCTCTCTGAATACTCAGTCATTGTACCTCTGCTTGCTGTTCGCTATACGCGACCTATTGTAATCCCTCATTTATATAAAAGAAACAGTGGACATAGGATTCGCTTTAAGCATCCGAACCACTTTAAATCTCTCATTTATTATTTAGTCTTTGTATTTTATTATACTAACTAGCTCTTTTATAATCACATCACATGTAATTTCTAAGAACAACTTAGCACTTTGCACGTGCAGGTCATTGGTGTCAAAATCACGCATCAACATCATTATTGAAACTTTTTTGTGGTAAGCAAACTATATTTTATGTTGTTGGATAACATAATGTTGTGCTTGTGCATGAAAAGAAAAGAATAATGAAGCAAAAATGGAAATGGACAAGACTTACCCAAGAGAAAGAAATGGGAAAGACTGGAACTTCCACTGATATTATATGATTTTGAAGAAGATTTGAAATCAAATTGAACGGAAAGAAATGTTAGATTTGAGAAAAGCAAAGGTAGTTTTGGAAAGAATCTTAAAAAGCAAGGGTAGATTTGAAAAAAAGGGTAACCTGCATGCAGGTACGGGTTTCAGTTTTCAATATCCATTTAGACTTTCCACCTGTTTTACCTGTAACCATTTTGACTTGGCTCGTACTCGCCCACCCCACCCGTTTGCCAGGTCTACTACTCAACACTTAACAGTCAACAGTAGACCTAGCAAAACGGGTCCAAACCCGCGGGTCGACCCATACCCGGGTAAAAAACATAGGGTATGGGTCTAATATGTTAGACCCGTTTTTTTTTTTTTTTTTTTTTCAACTTGTACCCAACCCAACCCATATTATTCACTACAAGAAATTTAACATTTAGGGACGAAATTTTCGTCACATGAAGTGCAAAATTCGTCCTAAAAAGTAATGTGGGACGATAGACCAAATCATCCCCAAAGCCGCATCGCTTAAGGATAATGCCCACGAAATACGGTTTACGGTTTCATCGTTAAAAATTATTTATTTTGTGACGAAATTTTTTGTCCACAAAAGAATAATTATTCGTCCCAAATGAGAGTGTTTTGTCCCCAAAAAAAGCACAATTAGGGACGAAACAATTTCGTCCCTAATTGGATCAATCATTGGGTACAAAAAATTTCGTCGTTAATTATGTGATGAATTGGGGACAAAAATTTTCGTCCCCAATGTTGCGGTGAATTGGGGATGAAAAATTTCGTCCCTCATGGCGTGGTGAATTGGGGACAAAAAAATTTGTCCTTGATTGGGTTGATAATATGATGATTAACCGTAATCCCAATTTATGAATCAACCCTACTAATTATCCTTCATGATAATACCCAGATTCATTTTCACTTCACTATATAAACAAACAAAACAACAAAAGGTGAGTTTCCCAAATCAAATTGCCCTTCTTTATTAACAAAAACTGTCAACATTACAATTCCTACTTAACCACTACCACAGAATCTTCAAAGTAAGTTTCAGGATTCCAATCCCAAAAGAGTGAAACAAGAAACAAAATTGCAAACATCTTTGTTCTTTCCTATAGCCCAAAATCTTCAATGCTGTCATAGTTTCTTGTTTGCTTCCATCCCTACTACTTCGATCTCAAGTTTATCTGCCCTAAATGCAATCTCTTTGTCTTCAACAACATTTTATTAACAATTCAGATTTTCTTGATTAGCTTCAAAGAATGATTTACCAGTTATTCCTCATCAAGTTGTTGTCGTTGCGACGTTAGTTGCTCTACTAATCTATCCAATGCTTCCTTCAACCACCCATATTGACTTTGACCAGCTTTTCTGGCTCCTGCCACGCTCATCTGCACAAAAAAAGTGATATAATTATCAAAAAAAATTCTTTATAAGATATCTAACCAGAAATAGCTTTCTGAATGCCTTTGAAAAATAACATCATTCACAATAATTTTTCCTCCATTTTACCGTCCATTCAATTACCCACTGTTAACAGAGTGTTCTATATAAAATTTACCATGTATATTAGACACATTTATGTCAACTATGCCATTACTCATACTTATCAACACAACCAAAACTCAGAAGAAGACAGAAGAAGAGTTTTGATTGTAAGGGCAATAATTAATTGCAGTAGAGCCTGCCAATTTCAAGAATATACAACAACAGAAATCAAAATAAATAATGGTCATTACTGCTTCCAATATATTGTCAAGCACATGAACAAGAAAAGTTTCCCAGAAAGTTGAAGAGGGATTACATACCTGAGATCAATGCCCATAAACTGAGGATTCAGCTGTATTCCAACCACCTAAAGAAATTGAACGAAAACTTCTTTCACATAACATTTATGACATTTTATATCTGCAATGTATGTGTGGCATTATATACAGGACGTCAGGTATAATTCAACAGACTTCCAACTACAATTTCTTAGTTATAGTATAGCAGGAAAAACTGAAAGAAGTCATGTACATAAGAGTGAGCAGTGACATTATAAGAGATTAATCAAAGGTATTTGTTGAATTGTCGTGTACCTATATCCAATAGGAAAGAGACATGATCAAAATAAGAAAGAGACATGATCAATGCACATTTTGTAAAATAACTTAATTTGATTAAAACCAATAAACAATTACAAGTTATTTACTTTTAAATACATTTAATCCAAAATTATCTGGGTACATTCTATCTCCACAATTTTGAAAAGAAGGTCACAGTTGAGATTTGGATAGGTAAAACAAATTTTAAATGAATTCCCCACCCAATTTTATGGATTATATTGAAGTTTTACTTTTTGTTTTGGGAGAAAAGCAAAATTCAGAAAGTTTTAAAAGGAAACAAGAAAGCCACTTGAAAATGTAGGGGCTTTGTCTAGCTGACAGTGAAGAAAGGTGTTGTTTAAGGAACTGTGAGTGGACACATTTTGACCTTTTTCCATAATAACAGTAAAAGGCACAAATTTGTTTACCCAAAAAAAAAGGCACAAATTTTTATCTACCGTTACTTCACATACTGAATGCCCACAGGTGCGCCCAAAGCAATAGCTCCTAAAACATTTAGCAGAGCCCCTGCAAAGTAAAAGATGGATCAGTTATCCTATGTTATGTAGAAAAACAAAGGGAACTCCTCATCTTTAATAGCATTTTCAGAAATTCGTCTACTTCTTTCCAACATAAAATCCAAAAAATAACCAAAATGCAACAACTCCACAGAACCAAAGCTTTTCTCCCACCAAAATCAGTGTTTGACAACAATCAGCATTGTAGAGAGGTTCTTTGAGTCGTGAAGTTGAAATGAAAGAATTAAAAGTCAAAACCCTAAATTGAAAATACTATTGACAACAATAATCACCTTGAGCTGTGAAGTTGGATTTAGAATGAGTTTCTAAATGTCATAAATGTTATGTGAAAGAAGTTATCACTTTGAAACTTTCATCATTTCACGCTACAATGCCTACTCTGAGTTTCAAAATACTCATGACACAGCATAAAACATTAAAAAATCTGTATTTCAAGCCAGATATACTACTGAATGTTTATTCAACATCATACTATCCTATTTACAAATTATAACATAATAAAAGTCACAAAGCCCCAAGTAATTTTAGGAATTGAAGATGATTATTTAATTACAAGCCAGTGGATAAACACGGAATAGCGAGTACTTACAATAGGTGATATGAAATCCATCTGGGTACCAATTCCAAGTAGCGCAACCAACAATACAAGCATACAAAACAGTTAAACCATTTGAAACATTAAAAAATACAAAATATAACACATCAAAATTCCAAAGAACTTGAGCAAATGAGTAAGCAAACAGCTAATTAAAACAATACATTGCATCGATAATGAAGTCGAGTGCAAAGGGTCGATGGTGGAGTCGGAAGAAGTGGAAAGGTCGGAGAGGTCGGTTTGGTTGGATTGAGCGCGGAGAGATACGAGGTGAGACGATGGGCTGAGGGGAAGGAGGTGACACTTGTGGCGGGGCTGGAGATGACGGTGGAGATGGATTTGTTTAGAGAGAGAAAGAGGGATCTAGCCATCGATTTTGGAGGAAATTTGAGTGAAGATTGCGAAAATCTTAATTGAGAGAAGAAGAGTTGAAGAAGATGACATTTTGGGGCAAAAGTTTCGGGTTAATGGATGTTAGGTTTCTGGGGACGAAAACTTTGGGACATTTTGGGACGAAAATTTTGGGACGAAAATTTTGGGTTAATGGGTATTAGGTTTTTGGAGACAAAACAATTCATGCAAGAGGAAAAAGGTTTTTAGCTACAAAATGTTTCGTCCAAAAATAATATATTTCGTCTCTAAAAATGTATTTTTACCATAAAGACCAAATTATATTTCGTTCCTAATAAGTTTTTTAAATTTTGCACAATTAAAGACAAAAGATTTTGTCCCAGAAAAAGAAGGATTTTAGCTACAAAAATTTTTAGTCCAAAAATAATAAATTTTGTCCAAGAATGATTTCCCCCCATACTATTTCATCCTTCCCTCCAAATGCCATTGTTGGCGCGACAAAAATTGAGTGCTAATCATTTTGTGACGAAATTACACTTTCGTCCCTTAAAATGACCATTCTAGGATGAAATTAAATCCGTCCCTAAATGTTAAATTTCTTGTAGTGATTAACGGTTATATGGTAAAACCGCGGGTGCCCCTTTTTTTCAAATCTGAAATCCCTCACCCTAACTCTAAAACAAAATGTCAAAATAAATAAATAACATTCTCTCTCGCTCTTGCCTCTAAATCTCTCGTTAGTAGACCTCACCTGACTCATTCATTCTCTCAACTCTCAATTTCTCATCACTCATCAGTAGACCTCATCTGACTCATTTATTCTCTCAGCTCTCAATCTCTTTTCCGTGAACTATGATCCCATTCCTAGTCCCACCATCACCGATCGCCCTCACTCATCCTCGTCGACTCGTCATCTCCTGTCTCTCTCCGTCGCAAGACTCGCGGCTCTCCTCCCTACCATTGCAGTTGTAGATCGGTGAGTTGAGTTTCAAGATTTGTTTTTATTATATCCATCTTTGTTTCAGAAAAGCTGCAGCTTGTTTGATGCTTAATTGAACTCTGTGAACTGTGATCATGGTGTACTGTTGTTGGGTAGAATATCTTTCACAAGATTTGTATATTTAGGGTGTGAAATCTCTGTCACGAACTGTAATTAGCCAAAAGAAAAACCTGTAAAGTAAGAATATATTAAAAACTCAGACTCAGAGCTTTGTGATTGGTGGGTATTTTAATAAAATGGTTGAAAAGAAACTGCATGTATTGATATTGTCTGTCTCACTGTCTGTATGAACAATAAATTTTGAGGATTGTGCTTAGTGAATTGCAGGCACTGTTTTTAGAGTAATAGGCTAATAGCTGTCCCTGTAAATATGGTTTTGAAATGAAGCGGTTTTCACAGGTAGTAGCTCTGTAATGAACTAATTGTCTAATATGCGTATAAGACTGAATGCTTGGTAAAATGTTACTGTAACTAGGAAATATTTGGGTTGACTTTTACCCAGTCATTATTTGATTTCCGGACACAAGTTAGATGAACTTATTTGTGTTATTCATTTCAAAGAGTGGGCATTTAAGTAGTATGTAGATATTGCATTTACCCCCGGGGCTGGGGTCCTGCAATTTAAACTACTAGGATAGACCCCTGATTCTAATAGATGTTAACATTTGTAAAAAAATGTCATTTCAGATTTAGAATTTAATTAGCATTTGTTAGTTTGAGGAGGGTATTTGAAAGGCTGGAATCTTGATAGCGTTGGGCCAAAAGCTCAAGGTGCATTAAGTCTTTCTCACTTTAAGTATATGCATATTCTCACTCTTTAATTGGATTTGTAATTGAATCAGTACAAACCTGGAAAGGTTATTGTGTTTACGGTTTATAAGTAAGAACTTAAAGAAACAGGAATTGCTTTTAAATAAAGTCGATGCTGGCAGGGGCAGGAGTAACATAGCTAAATTTTGTGGGACAATTTCTTTCCGAAGCTGTTAATTTTTCTAATCTAAATACTAATGACAATTTCCATTTCGGTCCAATAATGAACAGGTATTGAAAAGGCATCATGATCCTAGATTATTTTACATCCAAAAAGTTAGGTTTCGCGTAGTTAAAGGTTAAGATTCTGTGCGTATGTAATTCCTGATGACATTGAAGCATTAGGTATGGAATCTGTTATGCTGAACCTGTCACTGAGTTTATGGCTGATGGCAATATTAAGATGAAAATGTTAAACCAAGTACTGACAATTCCCAAGAATATATTATATAGGCACGGTTTATACTGACTTTGAAAAGAGGGCTTCATTTCTGTTCTATTCATTTTAACGACTGAATTTTTCTTTGATGCTTTACCTCGTGCTTGCTTTGTATGCTTTGTATACTTAGTTTTATACCGGTCCTAATTAACTGAAATCCTTTATACAAGTAATGAAAATATTAATGTATAATCTATGATAAAACTTGAAGGAATTTCCAGTTTTTTACTAAAAGAATCTGGGATCACCTAAACGTTGCTTTATGGGAAACACTAAAAAGCGTGCATTTTTATGGATTAGGAGAGAAGCTTCCTTTTACAAATTTACATGCCAAAGCCAAAGCCAAACTCTGTTTTCACATTTACTACAGTTATGCATGCATAGCCATTTGTAAGGCAAAGCCAAAGGATTTGTAATATTCAGAGAGAGAACTTATTAACATACTGTTGAGTAAATGCATCTGCTGATTTTTAATGCAATCCTTTCTTTACATGAAAAAGGGTTCTCATTTTACACAACACACCTCACATGCTCGAATTATTATCACTGCTCTCTACCATAGAATAATTCATCATTTAAGGTCAACCCCATGTCTTATTCACTTTAATTTAATGTGACTGATGGTGGTTGTGAAGTCACCTACCATTGAACTAAATAACTCATCTCACTGTTTATGCATTGTTTTTCTCGCATAACTTGAAAGGGTTTGATAATTTTATTCTGGTTATGGTGTCCTTTATGTTTGTTTATTTATTTTATTGTATTATGCTTTGAGTGTGTGTGAGAGACCTAATATATTAATATTATTGTAACATCACCCTATCAATCATATATATATATATAGTCTGAAGCATTGACATGACGGATTCTAAAACTATAGATATGGATATGGTTAACATGAGAGCAAGTGACGATGCTTCTAAGATAATGCCACCTCCTTCTAATTATAGTATTCCTACAACTAGTTCTAGAAATAAACATAAAACATCAGAAGTTTGGAATTATTTTGAGACATATGTTGATGAGAATAAGAATGAGAGGGTTAGGTGTAAGGCATGCAATAAATCTTATGCATATGGTAGTATCACACATGGGACTAAAAATTTGAAGCGTTATATGGGAAACTGTCCAAAACGTGCCAACTATGATGTAGGGCAATTATTGATTGATCATGATCATAGATTACAAAGTAGAAAGATTAGTCAAGAGACTTATCGTGAATATATGACCTTATCAATTATTCAACATAATTATCCATATTCATATGTGGAGAATCAAGGAACTAGGAGAGTCTTTTCTTATGTGTGTTATGAGCTTTTGCATTATTCTAGGAACACCGCTTAGGCGGATTGCTTAAAAATATTTGAAAGGATGAAGAAAAAAACTAAGCTTGAATTAGGGAGGCTTACTAGTAGAATTTGCTTAACTTCTGATGTTTGGACTTCTGGTACAACTGAGGGACATATTTCTTTGACAGCTTATTATATAGATGAGGATTGGGAGTTACAAAGTAAAATATTGAACTTTTGCCATATTCCTCCTCCACACTCAAGGGTTGTTTTGGCAGATAATATTATGAATTTCTTGCAAGAGTAGGGAATTGAAAAGAAAGTTTTCTCAATTACTTTGGATAATGCAAGTAGTAATGATAGGATGGAGGATATCTTGAGGAACCAGCTTTGTGTGCAGAATGCTTTGTTATGTAGAGGTGAATTTTTTCATGCGCGATGTTCTGCACATATCTTGAATCTTATTGTTCAAAAAGGGTTAAAAGCTATTAGTGTCGCTTTAAATAAGATTCGAGATAGTGTGAAATATATTAAAGTAACTGAGGTTAGAAGAATCAAGTTTGGAGAACTTGCTGTACAAATGGGAGTGAAAAACTTAATGGGGTTGACATTGGATGTTTCCACTAGATGGAATTCGACATTTTTAATGCTTGAAACAACGTTAATATATCGTTCTGTGTTTGTGGCTTTATCAACAATAGATCTTGTTATAAATTTTGTCCATCAGATGAAGAATGGGATAGGGGGGCGAGGATATGCAAGTTCTTGGAACCATATTATGATATTACAACTTTATTCTCGGGTTCTAAATATCCTACAACAAACTTGTACCTGAAATGTGTGTGGGAAATTCAATTGCGTTTAATTGAAGAGTGGATGAGTGGGGATGAAGTTGTTAGGAGCATGGCAGAACAAATGATCCCAAAATTTACAAAATATTGGGATTCTTATAGTTTTGTGTTGACAATTGCAACTATTCTTGACCCACGTCTCAAGTTTCAGTTTGTGGAATATGCTTTCAACAAAGTTTATGATTCAATTACTGCCACACAGAAGTTGGAGGTTGTTAAGAATAACTTGCAAAAGCTTTTTCAAGCTTACGAGGCTCAATGTTCTAAAGAAGTTCCTACCTCACCTTCAGTCGTTTCTCCTGCGAGTGATTCTTCTCTTAGTAGGCGTGTAAATCATTCTTCTGTAAATCACTATACTTTTTAGTTTTTATATTCTTATGATAAATAAAGTATTGTTTATTGTTTAATTTAACTTTTGACACTTAATTGTTTAAATGATACAGGATTTTGACAACTATGAGAGTGTTTTCATTTCCACTAAGAAATCCGAATTAGATCTTTATTTGGAAGAGATGAGGTTTGATCGCGTCAAATATCAGAATTTGGATATCTTCGATCATTGGAAGAACCATCGTGATCGTTATTTGGTACTTGCCATGATGGCTCGTGATATCATGGCAATACCAATAACATCTGTTGCCTCGGAGTCCGCTTTTAGTATTGGCAGTAAAGTGCTCAACAAATATCGAAGCTCACTTCGACCTAAAAATGCAGAATCTTTGATATGCACTCGAACTTGACTATATGGATATGAGTTTACAGGTAACATGTTAACATAATATTTCATATATTTTATTATTTACATTTATTAATATTTGTAGTTGATCATTGTTTTGTAGATGATGAGATGAATGATGATTCAGATGATGGTCTTAATGTGCCATTAACTAATCTCGGGACTATGGAATCAAGAGACTCTATCACCTCCACTGTGGGATGAACATTTGCTATCCTAAGAATGTTTTTTGTTGAATATTGGATTATGTATTTGTTTATTTTAGTTGGTATTTATAGTTTATTGACTTATTTTGTTTGTTTATGTATAATTGTGTATTAGTGATTATGTATTTATTTATTTTGGTTGGTATTTGTAGTTTTGTATTATATGTTATTGTTTGTTTATGTGTTATTTGTTTATTTTGGTTCTTATTTATTTATATCCTAAATTGAATTGAATTTAGAGTAGTTGATTTAGGGGGTGTAAATGTAAAAAATTAAAACTATAGGAATTTTAGGGGTATAACTGTTATAATTGAAAACTATTAGGGGTAAAATGTAAAAACTAAAACATGGAGAGAGAAAAAACAAGTACTTGTAGGTCCACGGGTACCCACATAGGGCAGGATACATGTCTAATATTTTGGACCTGTATACTTCAACCCGTATAAGGTTTGTACCTGTGATGACCCGACCCAACCCGTACCCGGCCTACCCACCCCCCGTTTTGCTAGGTCTAGTCAACAGGGACTATAAGGTCACTGTCCAATTTTACTGGACATTTAATTTTCTTCTAACCTCCGGGACGAGTATGTTATTATCCCTGAAATTATATGCGATAAGACTTAGAAGGACAACAGGCAGAGACTTTCTGAGTGTCTCCAATGGCGACTTTTGTTTACCTCAGTGGCATGGTTCATAGTAAAGGTAGTTTTGATTTAATACACTGAACTCGGTTAGATATTTGGCTGGTTTTGTTTCGCATTTCATAGTGTTTTTTGTTTTGTAGGATGGTGGCCTCCCAAACCCTTCCAACACAATTTCACTCTCTCTGTTAGTACTCAGCTGCTTTTTTCATTTCTCTCCCTAAATTACATGTCTGCAGCAAAATCAAAATTAAATCTTCCTCCAAATTTCTTATTTCTTGTTTTGTTGTCTTCAGCTTTACATTCATAGTGACCTTAATGACTCATCCAGCTTGGGATTTTATGATTGCTTTTGGGTCGTTTTCATCTCTGTTTAAGATAAATAATGATGCCCGTTTAACTCCTCTATCTTAAATGATAATATTGGATGTCATCATGCTTTTGAGTTTTTAACAATTGGGTGCTCATCAAAGTGTGTTTGGAGCTCCAGCTGCTCCACACAAGCTGAAAGCCACTTAGATTTGAAATTGTGTTTCTATATGACGAGCATATCATATATTGAAGATGATAATAAAAAGGACCCTTTGAGCGAGTTCATTTCCCCAAATACCAGTAATTTTATTTATCTGGTATGGTTTTCATACCAAGTAGTAGCTTCCAATATTATCCTGTTGCTTTTCTTGAGGTCCTTTCTGAATTAGAACTTTACCTTAATTAGAACAGTTGTGTACATAAAACACACTGGCGAAACTTATTGGGGAACTTTACTTGCAAGCTTTCTTATTTGTCTCCACTCGTTCCAAGAAAACCTTATTACTTGTGTTAATACTTATTTGTCCTTTTGATGTTATATTGTGATCAGTCTCTTAAATGTACGTGGAAATTTAACTGACAGCTTTGTTTCTTTTGGTTTTCATGAATCCACACAATGACACTACAAATACAGGATATGACGAGCATTATATCAAGCCACCATTTTAAATGGTCACTTGGAATCAATAATCGTCTTTATAAAGGGAGATGTTATAACATTACCTATATACCTTACAAAAAATTAACTTCTTTCCACAATCAAAACCTTTGCAGTACTTATTACTGTTTTAGGAGATGTAGACCAATCTTTTCCAGTGCTGTTGATGATGAGAAGGAACCAGATGACTCGGGAGATGAAATGAGTGAGAAAGAATTACCTGAAGGCAAAATAAGAGTATGTTTTATTTTCCCTTTTTGAAGTTATAATTTTATTTGTTGCAGTAAACATCAACTCCAACTAGAACACTAAAGTTAATAATTGCATGCTCGTATTACAGTTTCCCTTTGCAAATTTGATGTATGAATAGATTGACATTGTTTCAACATTTGATAGAAGGATTAGCCTTAAAAGCCCACCATTGGATTTAATGACCGCCATATACTTTTGATATTTACCAAGTTTAAAATTAGCCTTGAAATTAGAATTTATGTCATCAAAATGTTACTACTCTAGATTAAACCATGTGAAAAGTTGTAAATTTCCCCTATTAGTTGAAATTTGTTTTTTGTTTCGGGTATATTGAAGGGAATTTTGATTTAAGGTGTAATCCATGTCAACTATTGCATCATAATTAACATATCCCTCCTACACCTTATATCATATCATGTGCTTTTCTTTCTTTCTTTCCTTTTTTTTTTTTTCTTTTTTTAGAAAAAAAAAAAACTGTTGCCTTTGTTTTCTTCACCAACCAGTTGTAGCTCCAAGTTACGGGTCTTTGATAAATTAGGTTGCTAAACAGCAAAAGCTTAATGTATCCGTTGCGAGGGCAGCTTTTTTAAATAATTGATCAATGAACTTGCTTTAAGTTTCTTTTGTTAGTGGTCTTTTTGTTGAAGAAATTGCATTTGTTCTTTGTTGGGGAGTCCATTTCAATATTAACTTCCGCTACCTTCTAGTGAGTTGTTCCTAATGATCAATCTTTTTTTGAGAATCAAAGTTTACAAAAAAACGTTGGATCTTTACAAAAAACCTAAAAGATCATGTGTAATTTATTCAATATGAACATCAAAAAAGAGAGAAAGATTACATCAGCCCACAAAGCTTCAAAAAGTAAAATATATCAACTAAAACCCCTAGCTAGTTGTGAAAAACTGAAGAAGAATGAGGTATCTTGGAAATCTGCTGCACTAGATGCTCATAGAGTGGTTAAAAATCTAATTTCTACCACAAAATGCCAATGTCTCTCCTTAATTCTCTTTAAAGATTCGGTTTTTTCTCTCACGCCAAATTATCCACAAAAGAGCTACGACTACACATTTCCAAAGAGTTTCTGCTTTCCTTACTTTATCATAAGTTGCAATATTCTCTATAAGAAAAGAATAGCAATCTCTTGGAGTAGCCCACTGGATTTTTGTTTCAATGTTGAGTTTTGCCCAACAAAAAGATTTCACTGATCAATGGCAGAAGCCATGGGATGTTTCTTCATTTCTCCGGCACATAGCACCTCAAGAATGGGAGAGATTCATACTAAGATACTTAACTTGAATAACACCTGTTGTGTTTAGTTTCCTATGAACCAAGGTTCATGCAAAAACTGGGACTTTTCTTCCCAAAGATCTAATTGTAAACATTTCCTTTTGTTTTGACTCCCTAAAGAAGAAGTTATGGCATCAGTAAGATTAGTTATGACCAATTTTGTTTCTGGGTAATATGCCAGATTTTCATGCTTGAGTACAAGAAATGTGGTAATGCAATTTCATGTATAATTTTGAGCAGTAATTTACATTTTTGTAGGTGAATAGTGAAGTTCTAAGAGAGAATCTTGAAAGAATTGGCAGTTCAGATGATTCTACCGCTAGTGGGATGGATCTTGCAACTCTTATTAGAAACAAGTATGGAAGGTCTTATGATGTTCAACTGATAAAAAAGGTATGTGCTCTATAGTTGATGAGTTAACATTTTGGGCTTGTTGCATCAATTTCCTAATATAAATAGTATCATTACTTTTTAGAACAACTTCTCCATATGCATTGCTACATTCAAATTGAACATAACCATGTCAGTTTATTTTCTTGACATGTATGTACATAGTCCTCACTTGAATTCACGCTCGTGATCTTTTTTGTGATAATAAGCATGTTTACAAGCCATGGATATGCATTATCATGTTTCTGTATATTTAAAAAATTTTGCTTGAATGTTCTGTAAGGATTTTTGGACATTCCTCGAACATTTTATATCATTCTTGTTCATTTACTATATGCTTATAAATATCATATTTATGTGTGGACTTATTACTTTAAGTAACATGTGAACGAGGTTCTTTTTGAAAGAAAAATGTTTAATAAAAACTGCACCTTGCCTCAGCCAACACGACATCACTTTGGAACTTATTTGACAATTTAAGATGATATGGCTACACTTGGGCAGTGTTTGCTGCTATATAATCTTTCACTTGGTAAATTTCTTCTCTTTTGTTTCATTGTTAAAGAATTAATATACAATGTCATTGATTTTTTGCTCTTTTGGCTTTTTGTGCCTCAAAAGAGCCTGAAGAACAAAACTTTCTTGATTTTTCTTCACTCCAAGATGAGAATAAGCTTCATTCCTTGCACACTGTGTTGTGTAAAAAATAATGATTCCGTTCCATTGCCAAAACAATGCTAGGTCATTACCCACTTGGATGTGTTGTTGTAGCTTCCATTTGATCAAGTGTGTGCTCATTCTTCTGTGGTTTTTTTATTGACAGTTGGGCTATGATCCTTCTGAGGAGCTATTTGGGCTCGAGGTTGATCTAAAGCCAAGGTTCTCTCTTCTCGTTTCACAATTTTATTTTCTAATTTAATTTTGTGCTTTCAATGTTTGAATTTAATCTCACATGTGGGTATGTACTTGCTTTTTTGATAGGAAGCATACATCCTTGTTATGGATACATGTTTTGTTTCTTAAAAAATGATACAGGCAAAATGTATGCTGATTCTGGGGTTTCCTTATGTATTAAGTTTTATATATATAATTTAGAGAGAATGCAGGATAAGAACAGGTATATTTCTATGATTGATAGTTGACCAACTTTCTCTACATTAATTGGGTTACGAATAAAGATAATTTAGATGTAAAAACAACTTGTTTAGTTAATTTTTTCTTCCAATTCCTCTTTGCTACCTCGTGAGATGATACAACTATATGATTATAAAATATTGACTATCTACATAGCAATACCTTATCACTTGCATTGTTGTAGTTTTACCTTATTTGTTTTAAATATTGAACTTAAGCTAGAGTTTTTGCTCTGCTTCTTAAAATGAGAGGTTTGCTCACGATCTATCATGTTAAGTCCATGTTGGCAGCTGCATCTCTCTTTTACTCTTTGCTTTCACTGGCCTTTTGTCCAGAAAAGTGGATACTGACTTCTGATATACAAAATTTCATTCAGGAATATAGCTTCTAGTTCACCAAAACCAAGGTCATGGTTTGGTCCAAATGGTCAGTATATTAGAGAGTTTCCCTGCCCAAGTTGCAGGGGGAGAGGGTACAATCCATGTACAGAATGCGGAATAGAAAGATCCCGGTTAGACTGCTCTTTATGCAATGGAAAGGTACATGCTTTTGCAATCCCATTGTTAGTTCTATGTCTATATAAACATGGAAATTTTGCCTATGAGTTGCTTTTATTTTTTTCTTGTTCCCCTCTCTTAATTATATGGTCTTCTTGTGTGTATTCTTCCCAATTACTTGTGTTGATCATGTAGCGAAAAATGATGTATCTCCATGGTTAACACCATACTTCTCGTGAACCTTTTATTAGATCAGTATTACTATCATCAATCTTGTTATTAACATAAATCAATCATAAAAGGGTCTAATGACCTGCCGTCAGTGCTTGGGGGATTGCGTAATATGGGAAGAGTCAATTGACGAGCAACCATGGGAGAAGGCCCACTCAATGTAATTTCTTATATCCTGCTTTTATATTGCGTACTTCTTGGCTGACCAAATTCATGTTTTTCCTCTTGTTGCTCTTACCTGCTATCTGCTCCTTTATTATATCAGTAGTTTCACTCTCAAATGGTCAGAGAAAATGAACATCCAGCTACAAACTCTTAAAATTTTCTTTCCTTTTGGCCAATTTTGCTTGGGGGATCGCATGATTAATTATTTAAGAAATTAATTTTTACATAACCTTTCTATGAAGAATCTTCTTTTCTCTCTTTACTATTGAATGACAATTATGGTTTTCTTTTGAAATATTTTTCTAATATTATACAAATTAAACCTGTTTGTTGAATTGTATATTATTAAAGTATAGAAAGAGTTCCTAAATTTTTTTTTTAGTTATTAATATACCATCACAAGAAATCTAAACAATTAGCCTACCTCTTGGGGATACCCTTTCTAATTAATTAATCTATTTTCGCCTGAAATTCAGTACTTACGTAAACTAGTTAACAGTATTGACATATGAAAGTCACTTAATGAAACCTTATAATTCTTAATCTTAGGCTAAAAATTTTGAACTATTTTAGTTCTTAATAGTAATAATGTAAAATTTACTAATTTCTAAAACTCTTTTAACATAATAATATGTAACAATTTAAGGAAAAAGCACCAGTTAAGTGGAAATGACAACTTGAATGTGGACTTATTGTAAAATATAATGATAGTTAAGGAAAATTAAGGAAAGAGTTCATTTAAGTGGTGTCATGAGCCTCCACTTGCCTTTAGCTAGATCCATTCTTTCTTTAAGGTAGATCTAGTATAGCTTCTTTCTTTTCATTTGTAAAAACACATGCCAATACTAAAAGATCATATAGTATAGAATTCGTATTCAGTTGTTCTGTACTTGACACTGAGTCTACTGTATTTAAGCCCTAGATCCATTGTAAGAAATTTGGCTAAACAGTGAAACATTTGATGTACCAGAATGCTTGACGATAACTGTATATATATATGTGTTGTATCCTATGTCTCTTGATTTTGCTTGTCTTAAAAGTCAAAAAGCAATTTTCTCTATTCTCTCTTATTTTATAATAATAATTTTTATTTTATTATATCATTATAAAGGAGCCTTTAAAAGTCTTCCCTCCCTCCTTTTATTCAGTTCCCCCCTCAAAGTGAAGGACGACGATGAAGTGGACAATTTAGACATCAAGGTGAATGTGAAGAAAAAGTCAAAGCGTGTCTACCATTCACCATCTCCTGAAGTTGGACTGAAGATTAGCCGATCACTAAAAGTAAGTTAGTTGCTTAATTATACCAAACAAATTCAGCCAAATAAACATCAAAAGACATATTTTACATATTAAATGCACTATAGTACTTTACATAATTCAATACAATTTGATTGACATGGATGATTATGTGGTATAGTCTACATTTAAAGTCCAATAGGGCAATCTGTAAATTCTTCACGCTGGAATGAACCATTGTCAATAAAATATTGCATGTGATTCACTAATAGGCTTGCAAAGTGCATTATTTCACCCAGTGCCATCTGAGAAGAATTTCTATGAACTAAAGAGCTTGTTATTGTTACTTGTGGAAGTGCCATCCTAGATATAGTCTGGATATGTTTATTTTTGTATTGAATCTTGATAAAGTAGGAAGAAGTCACATATCTTAGTCAATTCATGAATTAATTTTCCTTATTTAGTTGATTGCAGAGTCTCAACGCCAAAACTGGACTATTTAGTAAGAGGATGAAGATTATCCACCGTGATCCTAAGCTTCATGCTCAGAGAGTTGCTGCAATTAAGGTATGAATTTTAAGATTTATCACATTTTGAACTTTATAGCTATACATGAGTCAATGAGTGAACATTCATTGGACTTGACATCTTTAATCATGTGCTTCAGTCAGTTGACATTATGGTTATCTATGGTTTTGCCTTAAGTTATTCTGAATAATAGAAGTGGTAAAATATGAATCCTTTTTAGGCTTCTGAAAAATTCTTTTTGGTGGTGGTTACTCTGGAGATTTGCAACAAGTTAATACTATAATGTCTGCACTATTAAATCTTTGTCTACCATGATATAGCTTCCTAAAACATAACAGAGATAATTAGATCACCAGATATCTAAACAAGGGGATAGGCCTAAGTATTTGGGTAATATGTAAATTTCAAATTTCATTAAAAAATGAGTTGAACCTTAAAGAGTTAGGTGGCAAACAATTAAATGAGAGATCTTCATTTTGTTATAAGAAAAAATTAAAATGATTAGGAAGCTTCAAATTTCCCTTCGAGTTAATGACACTTAAGGGCATCTATTTCTTCATTGAATGACAAAAAACTGATGCTAGAAATTGATGTATAATTATGGTAAACCAAAAGCGACGTGTATTGAATCATTAATTTCCAGTACTATTGAAATTATAAAAAAAAAATCTATTTTAATGATCAAAATTTTTACCATCCAGAAAGCAAAAGGAACTCCTGCAGCAAGGAAACGTGCTTCTGAAGCTTTAAAAGCTTTCTTTAGTGATCCAGAGAATCGCCACAAACGAAGCCTTGCAATGAAAGGTGAGTTCTCATGCTCCATTAAGATTTTGCAGTTGACAATATCTAGTCAAACTGGATGTTCTGTCATTGTTTGCCAGAACTTACAATGATGACAACATTCACCAATTCACTTATAGCATTTGTTTGCAACAGTGATCTTGAATTATACTGGAATTTAACTTGGTTCTCAATTTTATTTCTCCATCTTTTGTGGCATCCACTTTATGCTAAGCCATCTTCTACTTTCGAAAATACAATTAGCAACAATATTATAAAGGAAAGAATTTAATGAAGTCTAGTTTCAGACAATAATGTTATAAAGGTATCGTTAATATTCGATTTCTGGTAATGATTTCTTGTGGATTGTTCTGTTTTGGAAGACATTGTTAATTTTTCTGTAGCAATTATTTGAGATTTGCTACTGTTGTCTCATATGATTTCTTTTACAAACAATTCCAATTAGACCAAGTTTGCGAGAGTCTTAGCTGTAGTGAAAGCAAATGGTTGTGAAAAGATATCTCGTTTTGAAAGAACAAGCATAAGCGGTTAGTGTAGTAGTATTGTACTTTTTCATGTTTCATTTTTCCTGCTGATAATCAACCATTTGCATCTTTTCCATGCAGGAGTGAGATTTTACTGCAAAAACTGTGGACGTGAGGGGCACAGGAGATTCTATTGTCCTGAACTCAAAGATAGTGCGAGAGATAGGCGATTTAGATGTAAGTTATGTGGGGAAAAAGGTCATAACAGAAGAACCTGTCCGCAGACAAGGTTGAGCAATCACAACAGTATAATAACGAGTTGTCAGAGATGCAAGATATGTCGTCAAAGAGGCCATAATCGTAGGACATGCCCTCAAGTTACTGGGGTAAAGTTACACGGTAATGGCACCAAAGAACACATTCTACCTTCCAAAAGCAGAATATGCACTTGCCGGCTTTGCCGAGACAAAGGACACAATATAAGAACATGTCCTATTAGAAACACAGAGCCACTGAAGATTAAACCTCAAATTGAAGAATGAATTTAACAAGCCACTTTGGGATTAATTCAAATTTAGTAGATTATACGGAGAATAGTTGTTTGAACTAGGAAGTATTGTTCATCTTAGAGATACCCATTTTTTTAACATCTCAATTTGTCTCTGTACATATCGTCTATGTTCAGGTTGGGAATGTGTAAAATTTCTTTATAATCAGAGCTAGTTTCAAAATGTGCCATTAATGGAAGATCATTCTACTCTCTTTTTAATCAAGTTTTAAGGCATGAAGAGGAATGCCACTTAAACTTCAACCATGTGAATGACATATATGTGTACCTTATAACGTTTTTGTTTATATTGGTCCCTTATATAGTTTTGAATAATTTTCTAGAGAATTTATTTATAACAAATAGTAAAATAAATATAGTTATATGGTTAGAGGATTTCAATCTTTTATTTAAGAGTAATGCTATCTTTATATCACTTCTCTACACCACTCTCTTACATAATGACGTGGTAGCCAACGTGACAGTGCCACCTATCTGTCACGTCAGCGAGCTAACACACCACCTCCCAAAAAAATAAAAAAAATAAAAAAAGGTTCTCTGAAAAAATTCAAATTCCATTTCCCCCGAATCTGATGCCTTTCCCTAAATTATTTTCCCTAAATTCAAACTATTTCCTTCCCCTAAATAAAAAATCTCTCCCAAAATTGAAATTGCTCCACTTCCCCTAAATCAAATTTGAACCGCCGTTGTCTGTCGTCTACCAACACAACAGCTATTGTCTACCAAAAAAACTTCGGTTCTCTTCAACTCACCCAAAAAGTCAAAACACAAACAAAACCAAACACATTTCCTTCCAATTCTCTCAAGTTTCCTTCCATGGCTTTCACCAATTCTCCCTTCTCTTCTTCAACTCTTCCTCGAACTCCACTCACCGATTCCGATTTCTCCCTCTAATTTCTCACGACTCGTTCATCTCAATTTCAGTGGCAATTTCCCTCTGATTTCTCGCAACAACAGCTTCTCCACGCGAGAATAATCAAATTCTTCTTCTTCTTCTTCTTTGTTTTGTTTGATGAAAAATTGAAAATAATCGTGTTAATGCGTGCGATTTGTGTTTGTTTTCTTTATCATTCTATAGCTTTTTTTGGTTCTATTTTGATTATGAAAGAAACACATGGAGGCTTGGTTCAATTACAGCATATTTAGTCGATTGGAAAGGGAAGGTTTTTGATAAATACATGAAATTTGGAGAGGTTTATGATAGTCTTCAAGGAAATTTATTTGAGGAGAAGGGAGTAGCACAATGAGTTTTATGTCCTAATAGATGTTGTAAAGCTTGAGTTAGTTATCGTAAATTTATGTGTATTCATAGATAAGAGTCATAAGACCATCACTTAATTAAACTATATACAAAACTAGTTGATTTGTTGTTGTATCTTGCACAGGAAAGATGAATCTCCAATTGCTCCTCGGTCTAAAATACACAAAGGAAAAAAAATTAAGTTAGAATAAACACCAAACCATTAAAATAATTAAATACTTATATAACTTAAAAACATGGATCTTACTTTGCTCTTTTTCTTTACTCCATGGAGATTGCAACATCAATCTCCACCACAAAGTAGCATTTTTACAGTTGTCAGAGACAATGATGATCGATAAGGATCAATAACTTTGCCACCAGCACTAGAAGTCGCCTCCGAAGCCACTGTGGTTTTAGGAATGTTTAGTATATCACGAGTCATCTTAAATAAAATCTTATGCTTCATGTTGTTCACCTTCCACCACACTAGTGCATCAAATGTGTTTGGACCTAGTTGACAAACATAACGTGGCTCCTCCAAATAACAATCTAACTCTGACTTTTCTGAATTAATATCTTCATCATCAATAAGATAATGTTCTAAATCAAATTCCCAATAAGTAGGAGCTCTGGTTCCTACATTCATCTGAGTAGACGTGTTCATTCCAACATTTTCTTCATTGTTGGAAGATTGGAATTCCTCCACATATTCCCTCTACAACTCATACAATGCATACCGTACTTTGCCGATATTTGCGCGTGCTTCAGACTCGGATACATTCTAGGGAAAGAAACTTCAATCACCTTCATTTTATATCTTGGATCCAAGACAGCGGCAATCGACATCAACAAATTACATTCACCCTAATATTTATCAAACTTTTCTTTCATCTTTTTCACCATAACTCGAATGAATTCATTTTCGTCTGTTGCCTTTTTATCAAGCATTGTTTTTATCCGGAAAACCTCATTCAAAAACATATTAGAAATAGGGTAATCACTCCTAGAGATTAAATTGGTCACCGTACTAAAAACTCCCAAAATATCACATACCTTCTGAACTTTCTCCCAATCCTCGTCATTAGGAGAATAAGTAAACCCAAAGTTTCTGTCTTTGAATCTCGGAAACACAATTTTAAATTGTAGTGCAGTTACCATCATCTCATACGTTGAATTCCATCTTGTTTTACAATCTAAAATCAACTTTCGACTAGGCAACTGTAGCTGTTGCACAATCTGTGAGAAAATTTTGATCCTGCTCTTTGATTGGTTGATGTACGACACACTATCATGGATTTTTTTAAGGATATCCTTAATTTTAGAAAAGTCATCTTGAACCAAAAGATTCAATATATGTGCACAACACTGCACATGGAATAGCTTCCCTCCACAAACCAGCCGCTTGGTTACTGAAAAATTCTCTCTCAATGTTTTGATCACTACATCATTACTGGAAGAATTATCGACAGAAATAGTAAACACCTTGTTTTCAATACCCCATTCCTTTAAACATTTGTACACCGAATCATCAATTTGAACACCCCGTGTGAGGAGGATCAATACGTACAAAGCTCAATACCCTTTTCTGCAACCTCCAACTACCATCAATAAAATGTCCAATTAGAACCATATATTTTATATTCTGGTTACCTGACTTCCATAAGTCCGTCGTCAAGCTTATCTTGTTGACATTCTTCAAAATATTCATTAACTTCTTCTTCTCAATCTCATACACAGCCACACAATCTTTTTTATTTGTTGTGCGCGTTATTTTTTCCCACTCAGGCATCCCAGTTTTTTGCATTAGATTGAAACCTTCTTCCTCCAAAACGGTAAAGGATGCTCATGCATCATGACCCATTGCACAGCTCTTTCCCTTATCATCGCCATATTAAATTTGTCATCCCAAAGAACAGGGGGTTGTGAGTCACCACTACTTGAACTTGGCTAGAAAAATTGTTGTCCACCACTAACTTGCCTTTCGTTAAGCCTTTTCCTGAGACATCCCTTTGAATGTCATTTAAGTTGAGTAGTGGGCCTTCTTTTCGGTAGCACATAGATTACCTTACAATGAATGCACTGTGTCTTTACCTTTCCATCAAGTAGTTGTAACACCTTTTGAAATCATTCCACACTGTCAATGTCTTTGCCCTTTTCTTCCTTCCAAATGTGTTAACATCACCCTCATGTGCTCCTCTTGTTCTTGATTTGTTTTTTGAGTAACCGAGTTAGAACTAATTGTATTTGAATCCCTTGTGGTTTGGGTTTCGGTGGAGCCTTCCATTATTTCACTGATATTTATATCATGAGAGAAAGAATTCACAAATTGAAATAATTTATAAATAGGACACAATCTAATCTAATATTTGCCCACAATGTGAATAATGTATAGCGCAGATGCAGAAACATTAAGAATATATATTCATAGAATCACATTCAGACACAAACACAAATTCATGGGCGCTACTAAACATTAGCATAAATCTTAAACAAATTTTAGAAACAAACATTTTTATAAGCAAAAAGTGATAGCGCAGATGCAGAAACATTAAGAATATATATTCACAGAATCACATTTAGACACAAACACAAATTCACGGGCCCTATCAAACATCAGCATAAATCTTAAACAAATTTTAGAAACAAACATTTTTATAAGCAAAAAATGCAACCTGTGCTGTGGCCAGGATCGTTTGTCTCTCTCTATTTTAGCATGGATGTCAGTAAAAACAGTCGTGACCTCTCACTCCCTGTCATCGATTCATTTATGCAAAAATTGATTTCATTTTCATTGTAAGCTGATGATAATGCAAGAATTGGAAAATTATTTTGAAATAAAATTCAATACCTTCCAGAAACAACCTTCGCTTGGCCTTCTAAATTTGATAGGGGCTAAAGCTAACTGCTGTGTTAAATGCTGAGGCGCTTGTGCTGTAGCGTTGAGGCGTTGATCAAGCTGAAAATTGCAGAAAAAATTAGGGTTGTGAGTGAGGCTATCGCAATTTGCAAAAGGGATAATGTGGAATTGGAATATTGGATTTGGATTTTGGGTCGGGTAAGGGAAAAGGTGGAATTGGGTTTGGATTAAAATTTGGGCTGGGCGGGTAAGGGAAAATGTGGAATTGGTTTGGATTTTTGTTTTAAAATTTGGGCTGGGTAAGGGATAATGTGGAATTGGGTTTGGATATATATATAATGTGTAATTGTGTAAATACAAAATTATTATTATACATATATTAATCATAGATTAAATATGTTTAATATGTTATTAAATTACCAAAATTATAGGTTATCATAATATATATATATATATATATATATATATATATATATATATATATATATATATATCATAACATAAATCATCATAAATATTTTAAATGTCTACACATATATTTGTTACAACACTCATAAATTCATAGTACATGAGGGTTTATTATATATATGATCAACCATATGTGTGATTAATTTGTTATATATATATATATATATAACATTATATATATAACACAATGTATAGTTTATATACACATTATTATTATACATATATAATCTAGATTAAATATGTTTAATAGTTTAATAAATTACCAAAATTATAGGTATCATATATATATTGTCATAACATAAATTATCATAAATATTTAAATGTTTACATATATTGTATCAACACTCATAAATTCATAGTGGAATGAATATCTATTGTAATATATGATCAATACATATGTGTGATTAATTTTTGTATATATATATATATATATATATATATATATATGAATGTGAATTGATATCTATATATAATGTGTAATTGTATATATACAAAATTATTATCATACGTATATTAATCATAGATTAAATATGTTTAAAATGTTATTAAATTATCAAAATTATAGGTTATCATATATATATTATCATTATTGTCTACATATATATTTTGTATCAACACCCATAAATTTATAGTGGTATGGGGGTCTATTGTAATATGTCATCAATACAAATGTGTGATTAATTTACGTTTAATTAAGCGATTATTTTATTAAATTTGTGATGTTATACATCACTTGATTATACAATATGTTATGTTCATTAATTTACCATACTATATTTATTATTTATTAATTGAAATGCTATCTCATAATATTTAATTATTGATTACATTTGGAAAAATATGAAGCTATTATGTTATTAGATTTACTATGTTATATATCATTTTATTATACAATTTATTATGTTATTAAATTTGTCATGCTATGTATCATAATAATTTATTATTTTTTAATTAAAATGTTATATAGTTATATATTTAATTATTGATGACATTTGAGAAAAAAAATCCAAACATATTATATATATATAAGAAAAACAAAAGTATCATAATATTTTATTATTGATTACCATTAAAAAAAAATTTATCCAAACTAAACCAAGCATAATATAAAAAAGAAAAAATATAAATATATATAATAATGTATACTATGTTTTTCGAATATAAACAAATGAATAATCGAACTAATTGTTCGCGAACTGATTGTTCGCGAACAGATGGATCAGTCAGTCGAACGTATTATGTTCGCGAACATAATCGAACGAACATCCTATGTTCGAACTCGAATCGAACATATTATCGAACGAACATCGAACTGTTCGCGAACAGTTTCTTATCAAGTCGAGTAGAACAATTATCGAACGAACATCGAGCTGTTTGCGAATAGCTTGGTTCGTTTGCAGCCCTACGGTGGGGTTGGAGGTGGGTGTACTGGGGGAGGGGGAGGAAGAATGATTATTTTTTTAAGAACTCATTTGTTAAGAGGTTTTTTACCAAGCTAAAGAGTAATTTTCCCTTTTTTGTAATAAGTGTACACTATTGCGAATATTATTGACACTTTACTACCATTTTAGGGTTGGGATTTGTCCTCTGAATTTTGGGGACCTGTCCCATATGGGACGAGGATTCCCCGAAATAGACGAGGACAGGGACAAAAAAATTCCTGTCCTCGCCGACGACAATAAATGTCTCCTCGCACTGCCTCCATCCCCACACGAGGATAGTGCAGTTGGGTGGGGGCTTTCGTCTTACAATAAACCCAAACTCAACTAGTTCTAACACATCCACTCCAACAAACAAACAACAATCAATCCACAACCCACAATCAACCAAACAACATACACGCGTGAGCAATGAGGCTAGTGAGGCAATAGTCAGAACGATTTGTCGCTGGAGATAGCAAGGACACGCAATCTAGTATGATTGACGGTGTGCAAGGCAGGCGCGATTGATCATGCGAGTTGGAGGCATGATCAATTGTGCGAGTGTGAGGCTTTATTTATTGTGCAATTAAGCACGATGGTGGTGTCGTTATGAGGACGAGGGGTCAAGAGTGAGCAACTGTGCAAAGAAACTTGCGATAGGCGCAAAGACGACGCTTGCCTTTGATATATTTTTTCCCGTTGTCTAGGGCGAGGCGCGGTGAGGACAAGGGTCACCCCTTCCCTACGGGAATATTTTATTAATATGTTAATTGTGAATATACTTATTAATATTTTGGAAGATTTGATGGGTTACTATTGTTTGTGTTGATGGATGGTGGTGGTGGGGATATGATTGAGAAATAGGGAAAGTTAAGGGTTTGAACCAGTTTAGGGGTAAGAATAAAAGGAAGTGAAAGTTAAGGTTTTGATTAAGAAAAAGTGTAATGATAGTCTTGCCCTTCAAAACCTAACGGAACTATAACGGCGTTAGGACTTAGGGGTGTGAGTGATATATTTCTTAAAAATGGTGGGGAAGGTTCATTATAAGCGATAGTTGCCATTTAACTGATAATTTTGAATAAAGTTAAGGAGGTAAACATTTTTGCCCGAATTACCATAGTATTTTTTTTTTTTTTTTATATATATATAATTAAAATTAATCCATTGCACAAGCGTAATATATAAAATATAATTTGTTAATTTTCTTAGCCAAGGGATTTCTATCCAACGTATGGTATTTAGCGGTTGAAATCAATGAATGGTTTGTTTTTCATTTCTTAAAGCAAACTAATGAAACTAACGTTTCTATCAACGGTTGAATCCTCTGCCAACGTGCTCTATCTGAAATCAAAACAGTCATTTCTTTTTGTGAATACGTTGGCCAGTCACCTTCTTCTTTGTGGTTTCGCACCAGCGACCAGGTTATTGCTCTGTATTATCTTAGCTGTCTGTTCTTTTTCCTAATTTTCTCTCTGCGTTTTTATGTGGTTAACTTGGATTTATTAACAATATCGATTTTTTTTTTTTTTAATTTGATATTTGTCTATAGATATTATCCATAAGAGCAATTAAGGTACCAAATCTTCCGGTGTCATATTAACTGTTTGTTGAGCTATGTGTTTTTTATTTAAATATTCTCTTTTCCCTAACTGTTTGTAAAGAATTGCTGCAAAAAGTTATTGTTAGAAAATCTTTTCAAGCTATGAGCTTTTCCTGTAATTGATTTTCCAGCTGTACTTAACAGAGTATGATTAGTGTTTTTAGCAAAAATAGTGTTGATAAATGTTACTTTCAATGTTTCTTGCAAACATAGCTGTAATTTGATGTGAACCATATAAAATGCTCGGCATCAATCATTTCTTAATACTACTACTCATGTTGTTTAGCACTATCTATCAAGTTGTTGAGTACTGTCTACCAAACTAAATTACTGTGTCTAGCTCGCTGCTGTGCTCATTTTGTGCTAGATTCTCTTGATAGATGTAGGGGCGTGTTCATCTGTTCAATAAAGCTTGGCTATGTATGGAAGAATCTTTGGGAATTCCTCAACTGAGATATTTATAGTAAAATCCCTTATTTAATCTAATGAGAATATCATCGTGGTAGTATAGCTCTATTGAATTTATGAATGTTATGGATTTGCCTCTAAATTCTTTTGTTACGTTCTGTCCATATATATTTTTATCAGATGACAATTGGGGTTTCTTGTAGTCAATTGTTTTTTGGAAATTGTATTCGTATGAATTAAAGGTAGTGTATAATAAATAAATAGATACTTATACACCGGAGATAAAATTATTAGAAATGGAAAGTGATAAATTGTATTCTGATGGCTAGGCAAAATTGAAACAATTGTTGCTTATATTTCTTTATGCAATTTCTTACAAAGCCTACAAAGAATATTATCATCATTTGAGCTAATTGGGACAGAATTGTAAAACATATAAAACTGACAGCTTTGTTTTTTGGGTTTTCATGAATTCACAAAATGGCACTACAAATACAGGTTATGACGAGCATTATATCAAGCCACCATTTTAAATGGTCACTTGGAATCGGGAATCATCTTTGTAAAGGGAGATTTCATAAGATTACCTATTTACCCTCCAAAAAATTGACTTCTTTCCACAATCAAAACCTTTGTGGTAATTATAACTGTGTTAGAAGATGTAGGCCAATCTTTGCTAGTGCTGTTGACGATGAGAAGGAACCAGATGACTCGGGAGATGATATGAGTGAGAAAGAATTACCCAAAGGCAAAGTGGACGGAGTATGTTTTGTTTTCCCTTTTTGAAGTTATAATTTTATTTGTTGCAGTAAAACATGAACTGAAACTAGGACTCTAAAGTTAATAATTGCATGCTCGTATTACAGTTTCCCTTTATAAATTTGATGTATGAATAGATTGACATTGTTATAACAACATTTTGTAGAAGGATTAGCCTTAAAAACCCACCATTGGATTTAATGACTCCACATATTTTCATATTACCAAGTTTCAAATTAGCTTTGAAATTAGATTTATGTCATCAAAATGTTACTCGATTAAACCATGTCAAAGTTGTAAATTTCCTGAAATTTGCAGTTTGTTTTGGGTTATTTGAGGATTTTGATTTAATATGGATGGTAGAAATCAAACCAATGAAAAGTTTTTGATAGGTATAGTCCATATCAACTTTTGCATCATGGTTAACATATGTATTCATGATATCGTGTATATGTATATCTGTCTTTTTTTTTTTTTTTTTTTTTTTTGCTTAAAAAAAAATTGTTGCCTTTCTTTTCTTCACAACCAGGTATAATTCCAAGTTGCAGGTCTTTGATAAAGAGTTAGGGTCACTAAACAGAAAAAGGTTTTATATCCATTGAGAGGCAAGCATTTCGAATTAATTGATTAACGAAGTTGCTTCAAGTTTATTTATTATGGTCTTTTTGTTGAAGAAATTGCATTGTGTCTTGAGGAGTCCATTTTCAATATTAACTTCCACTACTTTCTGGTGAGTTGTTTCCTATGATCAATCTTTTTTTTTTTTTTTTTTTGTTTAAACAATTAAACAAGTATATGAAAATAAGAATTAAAGTTTACAATGAGAATTAAACTGTTGGGACTTTTCTTCCCAAAGATCTAATTACAAACAGTTTCTTTGACTTCCTAAAGAATTAGGGCATCAGGAAGATTAGTTATGATCAATTTTGTTTCAGGGTTTGCTAATATGCAAGATATTCATGCTTGAGTACAATAAATGTGGTAATGCAATTCCATGTATAATTTTGAGCAGTAATTAACATTTTGTAGGTGAATAGCGAAGTTCTAAGAGAGAATCTTGAAAGAATTGTTGGTGTAGATGATTCTGCCTTCAGTGGGATGGATCTTGCAACTCTTATTAGAAACAAGTATGGAAGGTCTTATGATGTTCAATTAATAAAAAAGGTATGTGCTCTGTAGTTGATGATGGATGTATTATCAACATATTGGTCTTGCTGCATCAATTGCCTAATATATATAGGTCATTTGTTTTTTGAGAGCGACTACTACACATGCATTGCAATATTCTCAGTGAGCATGACTATGTCAGTTATTTTGTTTATATGTATGTACATAGTTCTCACTTGAATCCGTGCTAGTGATCTTTTTTTAAGGTTGATAATTGGCATGTGCACAAGGCATAGATATGCATTATCATGTTTATGTAAAAATCTTGAAAGTTAGGTAAGATTTTTGGACATACCTTGGACATTTTATATCATTCTTGCTCATTACTATATGCTTAGAAATATCGTATTTATGTGTGGACTTATTACTTTGAACAAGATTTTTTTTGAAAGAAACATGTTTAAGAAAACTGACACGTTGCCTCAGCCAACACTACATCACTTAGGAACTTTTTTGGAAAATTAAGATGATATGGATAAACTTGGGCAGTGTTTGCTGCTATGTGATTTAATTTTCACATACGAGGATGAACTATACGCAGAGATGCTAGTGGTGGTTGTAAAAAAAGTTTTGTTATTGTTGATTTCTAAGCATATCACACCTCTTACCCTCTGCTACCTCTTGGTACTTGTGTAGGTAGGGTTGACCTACAATACAGAATCCATAGGTGTAACCTTTCACTCAATACTAGAACTGAAAATTGAAGCATCTGAGGTTGGATTAATTGGGGATAAATGAAAGTAGAAATTGTTTTATCTGTAACTTCACCGTCAACATGTGTAGAGTTCTTGTATAATTCTTTTTCTGTTCTTTTTTCTCCCGGATCTGTCTTTCTTCTAAGACAGGAATTGTACCTTGCTTGGCTTGACTGAATGATTATTTTGCATGAGAAAGGAAAATGCTAAAAGGACCAGTCAACCTTCCCCTGTTGCCAAACATATATCAAACTGCTTTCTCATGCCTAGGATTCAGTTTGTTTATTGTTTTTACCTTTTCCTTTGACTTACCTTTTTGATGTTTATCTTGTGTGTTGTTATCTTTATCAGATAGTTTTTAATATTTTTCTAGAAGTTCACTTTTACTTTTTGCGTGCCCATTGTAGGAGTTCATGGGAAAAAATCTTCTTGCTTTAAATGTCATGTGGAAATACATGGAACAGGTGAGAAGTTTTTCGTTGTTTTGGATTTTTGTTCTAGATTGAACTGGATTGATGTCACTACATACATGTAACAGGACCAAATATTAGAAATATTTATGAAGTTTCGGTTTTTAATAAATTCATAGTATTTGATATAGGGTATCTTCAATAAGTTATTTAAGAACTTAGATGCTTACAGTAAGGGGTTTAAGCTATGGGATTTAATTAAGGTTTGGTTTAAAAGATAATTCTTTTGTGGGGCAACTTGAATCAAGAAGTAAACAGTTCATTTGCATAATCTGATGAAAAGTAGCATGAAATCTAATTGCAAATGGTAACTTCAGCTTGCAATTGTAAAAAAAAAACATAATTAAAAAAAAAAAAAAAAAAAAAAAAGAGGGAGGTGTTTGTAAAATTCTCTCAAAGGCTTTGACTATCTTGTGGAGTGGTTGAAAGCTTAGTGTTAGTTGAAGGATATACTTACACATATGGAGTTGACTATCTTGAGATCATTTATATTGTAGCTCATAGTAATTTGGTCAAAGTTCTTGTATCCTTTGTAGCAGTTTTCAATTGGCCTTCAAAGCTAAAAATGTTTTCTTATATTGAGGTTTACAAAAAGATGTTTACATGGAGCAATTTTTGGTTTGTTGCTCGGGGGCAGTCGATGATGAGAAGTTATAGATAATTTTACAACCATAGGAGGTATGGTTAAGATTGCACCAAAGGTTATGGGAGGCTATCAAAATTAGTCTGAAAAATATCCAAATGTTAAATATATTTAGATATATATATATATCTTAATTTTTTGCAAATTATTTTCAAAACACAAAGCAAATAGATCCTTCAAAATGTCTGCAAATGAAAAAAAAGATGATAATAATAAAATTGAAAAATAACGAAGGGGAAATATTAGTCTGAGATTAGTTTTTGGTTCAATTTTTTGGTACAACAATGTTGGACCAAATAAAAGTTTAGCTAGACAGTGAAGATATCAGTTAGAACAACAATTCATACCAAGTCAGTTCACCCAAGAATCAGAGAGTACTTGAATATATATAAAACCTCTATGTCACTTTACTAGGTAAACCTTACATTTGACCCAAAAGGTAAAATAAATGGGAACGACCAAACTCATAAATATATAAAAAAAATGACAAATGTATTCTTTTAGTTTTGTCCTTAGTTCTAAAGACTTCTAGTCTTGTCATGATAATCATTAATTAACTTGGACATATTCAGTTATCTAAAGCAAGTCATAATAACAACAGAAAAAGCATTACACTTTCTAGGTTAGTCATTAATTAACTTGGACATATTTAGTTATCAAAAGCAAGTTTAAACTCATCGTAATTCTTTGTTCTTTGTTTAGAGATCTTTTCCACTGACGGAAGAAGAATATATTTTGAGGCTTGATGATGTGGCAAACACACTAAAATGTTGGGGAGCTGTCTCACATATTCGAAATAGCCTTGCAAAGCTAAAAGAGCGACCTCGAATTGGGAAGGTAACACTATGATATTTTGATTAGCTAATATTTGTTTTGAGTTGTAATGATTGAGTGTGTTGTTAATAAATCAGGTAAAACCATGTGATTTCAATGAAAAATTAACCTTAAAACTTCTTGGTAAGAGGAGAAACTGTTGATTAGATATGTTTTGCAAGAAAATCTTTTAATGATAGTAATATAAATATCACCTTTGTTAAATTTTATCCATTTTTCAGTAAATCATACTCTAAGATAAATTTGATCATTTGATTTTAACTAGATATTAAAATATTTGTTACTTTCACTTGTGATGGTGAAATGCATCATATCATGGATTAGTTTTAGGCTAATACATATATGTTGTATTATCCATGTCTTGAAGGAAGTAGGAAGATGAGAGAGTTCTATGTGAGAGCCTAAGCTAGACCATTTTTATGATTTGTCATTTTAGTAATCAACATTATAAGGATTTTATTTGATGTACTGAAATGGAAATAAATTTTTGTTAGATAATACTTTCTTACAAAAAATTGTCAATCTAAATAAATCGAGCTATCCTAACATATGCATGTTAGGATCTTGGACATCTATTCACATCCTGTCTCTCAAAAAAAGCCATCTCCTGGTGTGACAATAGCTCAGGAATTGACGACCATATAAGAGATGCTACATTTTTCTTTTCTTTTATGCAATGTTTATCATGGGCTTCTAGTAAGTTGCACAACTTTTTTATACTATTTCTGCAAAATCCTTCACTTGATCAAGCAAGGTAGTCAATAACCCATAAGAAAACTCCACCTTCACATCAAAAGTGCCTTGATCATGATTGACGCATGACACTTAGTTTGTTCTTCTCGATTGGCAATTTATCCAGCCTTTAAGCCTGTGCAAATTTTATTATGAAAACTATTTCCTTTTTCTTCCCTTGTAACTCCTATCTTTAGGTAGAAATGAAAGACCTTATCCACTCAATTCTCCCATCAAAATTTCTAAACAAGGTATCAGTGGGATTAATTAAATTTGTTGTAATGGTATTTATTTGAGTATTTTTACTTTGCTATCTATCTGATAATTGTTATAAATGAAATTTTTTTATTTATACATTTACTTTCCAAATAATAATGATGATAATAATAATTTTCAAATTTTATCGTTCTCTTCTTTTGATTTTTCTTTTTCCTGACCATTAAGGTTTATAGGCTGTAATTATTCTTATTATTATTTGTGTTGTTCATTATAAAAACATTGTTTTTTTTTTTTTTTCGCTCATAATAATGAATATGGACCAAATATAACTGAGTTTAAATACTGTAATTAGCCATTTATAGCTGCAAACATATGATAAATAATGAATTGCTTTATGGCATACTTCTTTGATTAAGGATCCTTATTTGGCTGACTTCGTAATTTGAAATAGAAACATAATAAATGATGACTGACGCTATTACCACTCCACCTTTTATCTTATTAGATCCCATTACAATTTTTTTTTTCTAAATACATTTTTATCCCTTAATGAAATTATTAAACAAGACAGAAAGGAAAAAAGGAAAACAGTATATATTAATTACACCATCAATCTTATTTTTGTATCTACATCTTACACCTTTTATCTTATTCTGAAACTTATTTTGGTCTTTTCCTTTTTTATTTGTCAAGAAATATATGCTTCTTTTCTGTGACTTTGGAGATATAAGATGAAAGTTACTTATTATCACTCCATTGTTCTATCCTCCATTTTGTTGTGTACAAATTTTTTTGGTTTTTAACTTTTGAATACTGCATGAGTGAATGTATGAATTTTCAATAGTGGAAAGGGGGAGAGTGGTGTAAATCCAAAGATGAAAGAGCGGAAAGAGAGAGTGATGTATATCCAAAGATGAAAGAGTAAAAATAGAAACAATAATATGGGGTTATTTTTTAATTAAATGGGGTATATATATATATATATGTTCTTTTATGTTTAAACACTTTATTTTATCAAAATTTAGTAGGAGATAATGGTTTAAGTGAGAATAGAGTAAGGTCCAACGGCTATAGGTTAACCTGTTAGCTGTTCATGTTAGGATGATGGCTTATTATCCAGAAAAACCTGATCTTGGGTATACAATTGTTTAGAAACAATGAATTATGTTAATTGCTGATCCAAATTGGTTTTTGATGAGATTTTGTTTAGTTTACAATCACAATTGTACTTATCAATTGATGCAGGCAGTTAGCATATTTATAGACATGGATGAATCTGGAGGCCGTGCAAATGAATGGATTTACAAATAGATTGCTTTGTGGGACAAGGAAAATTGTTCTCATTACCACCTCTCTGTGCCTTAATGAAGAGTAAGAAATTCCAGAAAAAATAATTGTTTTAGAGGTGGTTATGGCAGTGATTAAGAAGTCACTCAGTAAGTTAATTACTACACTGCCTCGTAAGTGCATATCCTTATGATGTACATACTTCTATAGAAATATTAGTATTAAAGTTTCTTCTACATTCTTTATTATTGGAGTTGCGGCTTTCTTCATTTACAAATTTATGGAGTGACAGGTTCGTAGAAACACTAGGAAAACATCCCTTTGTTCAATAATAATAATAATAAAAAATAGTAGCAGATGTAGAAGATGAACTCCATTTTTGTTAATACTTGATAAATTATTTACATATACTATAAGATCATTGCATGCCACATCAGGGTACCCAAAACGAATCACCATTTAAAAAACATAAAGAATAAGAGAATTTTTTTATGGCGTTTCTAGTAACAAGCAAACAAAAGAATGAAAGACATCAACCAAAATATAAAGTGATTATTAAGAAAAGCAGAGGCGTGACATAGATTATACACATTCCAATTTATTAATATTAAAAAAACTTTTATAAGGAAAATGGATTCGTTGTTCACATAAATGGAGCCAATAGGGAAAATTGCATTTATGTGTCCAACCCTAAGTAGAGGAGGGTTCAAACCATTATTTAGCTGAGTAGGTTCTGCCTTATCATAACCTACTTTAAATATATGGTATAAAACCCCAAACTAAATAATTGACGAGAACCAACATAATTTATCGCCCAGAAATTTTAAGTAGGCTATATTTGCAGGATAGGTTCAAAATTGGAGAACTGAAGTGAATAATGACTTCTTGGAGAGTAGCTCTTGTTTGAACTTTGAAGACAAAATAAATACATTTCTAATAAATATCTTTGTTAAGCTTTATGTTTTGGAGTCGGTTTTTTATTTTTTTATTTTATTTATAGGAACTTAGTTCTTGGTTTCCACGTATAAGATGTGACTAATTGTTTAATTGTAAAGACTGAGTGTGCGACTGCTTTTTTGCCACTTAACCCTTGTTAGAATTTAGTTGTACTTGATTTAATGGTATAGTAAAATCTTTTTATAATCAACCAAATTAATTTTATTACTACGAGGAGATTATGACTTAATAAAGGTATAGGTAAAAAATTATTATTTTGACTTAGGTATCTTTAGTGTAAATGGTACAGAGGTACAATATGCACTACATTAATAATTAATTAATTGAGAGAGAAAAATTATTCAGAGATTTNTGTTTTTAAATTAGTGTTAATTTTTATTTTGAGTTATTGTAGTTTAATATTTGCATTGAATAAAGTTTTATTTTTAATTTTTCATCATTTTTTGAATTATATCATTATTATGAATTTATTATTATAAATAATAATCAAATTAAATTAAATACAAATAATCAAATTTGGTGTGATTTTTGGTGTAAAATTTAATACTCAAATTAACTTAACAAAATTAAAAAAACAAACCAAAAAAAAAAAAATTAAAAAAAAAAAAAATAATTAATGGGCTACAGTGCCACGCTTTGGCCTGGGTTGGAGCAACAACCCACGCCGTGGGTTGGAGATGCCCTAAGGTGTGAGTAATTTTTTAATTGTAAAGACTGAGGGTGCGACTGCCTTTTTTGCCACTTAACACTTTTAGAATTTAGTTGTATTTGATTTAATGGTATAGTAAAACCTTTTTATAATCATAAAAGTTGGAACCAAATTAATTTTATTACTATGAGAAGATTATAACTTAATAGAGGTATAGGTAAAAAATTATTATTTTGACTTAGTTATCTTTAGTGTAAATGGTACATAGGTAAAATATGCACTACATTAATAATTAATTAATTGAGAGAGAAAAAATACTCAGAGATTTATAGTGATTTGGAGTTATATCCACAAGCCTCCTACATCAACTTCTTCAAGGCAATCTCCTTGAAGTTCCACTAGAATCAGATTTCGCCATTTATACTAGTTGACATGATTTCATCTTTTACAATAGTTTGACAGGATTTCGCCTATAGATTTATATGATTTCACCCACAAGATATTTGAATAAAAGCTTGTGAATGATTGCCTCTTAAACTAGGCTTAAGCACTCAATAAGAACGGGTCTGTTTGTTTTATTATTTTGAATATGATTTTCGGAATAATATTGGATAGTTGAGTATGGTTATTATTACGAGAATAGGATTTGAAGAATATGTGTTTGGTTGAGTATTTTGACCTTGATATTTGTGTTGAATATTTGATTGATATATTTTTTTTATAAATGATTTATTAATACAATATTTTGGTGCATTTTGTTAAAATAATGTATTATTATAACCTTAAAACTTATCAATTTACATTTTAATAATATTAAACATTTTATTAGTAATTTTGTAACTAATAAATATTAAAAAATGTAAACCCATATTAATTTCAAGTACTAATTCAACTGTTTAAAAACATCACATTAATACATATATGATAAAAATACTAATTATCAACCCTTACAATCGTTCTTACACGTATACTCCATTAACAACTACGACATGGTTCACTGTGCTGCCCACAGTGCATTCGCTATGTTATCCCGTACAGTCGTCATATTGTCTATAATACCTTGCTGCAGTTACCTCGGTCCTTCTCCATTTCGGCCATCTTTTGCCTTGTTTTGGCGATCACAATATACTTGCTCATTACCCGTATTTTCAGTATACTGTTCGAAGATAGGGTCCTCCATATTGTACATTCTGATAAAATTATGAAGTACACAACATGCCATAACAATTTTCCCTTGTTTGTCTAACGGGTGATTGTTCATTCCATTTAGAATACGGAACCGTCTTTTCAAAACACCAAAGGTTCTCTCGACAACATTGCGGAGTGAAGCATGTCTGTAGTTAAACAACTCTTGTGGCCCCCTTCGGTTACGACGGTGATCAGAAATATGGTAAGCCACTCGCCTATGAGGGGCGAGGAACCCTTCTCTATTTGGATAACCCGTATCAACCAAATAGTATTTCCCTGTAATAAAATCATACATGTTATTTGAATTACAGGGCCTCAACAGTATAGTAAATACGCTATAATACGTCAAGAAAATACTTATACCTGGTGAAGGATGTGGGAATCTAGAATTAGGATAATCAATAATTGAATTTAAAACTCTTGAATCATGTGCAGATTCTTCCCATCCAGTAATGACATAAGTGAACATCATCCTAAAGTCGCATGCAGCCATTACATTCTGTGACAACGTTCCTTTGCGATTCCGGTACCTATCGGCAAATTCATGTGGAACCGAAGCGTGTACATGTGTGCCATCAATGGCTTCAATACAGTCTTGTCATCAAAATTGAATTTTACTGATATTAACCGATTATCAACATTAATAACACAATCAACTTAACTATCCACTAATAGAAAACATAATGAACCAGTACCTTAAAGAAAGGGTAATATTTTCGGTCGGTTGATATTTCCCATGGAGCATCATTGAAGTCAGGTGGTCTGATAAACTCTGTCTTCAACTCATATATCGCCTCACAAACTGCACCAACATGTCTAGAGATCGTCTCACCCGAATGTTGAAAATCCTCCATCATCGTTCTAATTGTCTCGTTTTTACCAACGATTGTTAGAAATATCATAACTTGTTCTTCCAAACTCGTCCTCCTGGTTGGTCGCAATTTGCCTTGCTCTGACAAAATTTCACATAAGTATGTAAAACAGTTTTTGTTCATGCGGCACTTGTCAAAGATCCTATCAGCATGACCATTGAGTACTTCCAACATGTACTCATGACCAGTTAATATGGATGTATGTCGTAATTGACGCCCAGTTGTTTCTAACGTGGCAACACCACAGAGTTCAATGGGTATATCTGTCAGTATTTCTTCTTCATCATTTGTACAACGTCGTCTTCTTCTTATACGGCTAGACGACGCCATTTAAACCTGCACATTTGCAAACCATTGATCCACAATTAATAGTTGTTGTACTACTTAGCAAAATATAACAGTTAATATTTAATTCTAATGACAATCCAAAACTCATATGAAACATGTAATCTCACATAAAACAGTAGCACAATTAATAAGTTCATACAGTAGCGTTATAAATTCTAATTCTAATGACAAGTGCCCATTGACGCATACAAAAGTGTTGGCAAACACTTAGGACATACAGTGTCATCTACAAATTGTGAAAGTTGTAATAAATCCAATTAGCCTTTTCCTCGGGAGGGAGTTTCACGAATATCTCCCGCCACCCTGAGTTTTGATATAAGTACTTCATAATCGGCATGTAAAACTCTATGGGTACTTGCATGGCCATCATGATGTCAATACAACTGCTCATGGAAAACGGATCAGATGGACCACTGGTGTTCTCTTTGTCCCTCTCACCTCCACTACGATTGCTAGCCCTTAATCACATAATCCGCTTCTCCACAAGCTCGTTCGTCAATCTACCAATGACATTCGCAAGTGATTGTCCCAGGCCGCTTCGCCTCCTCCTATTTCTCGCTCTTCCATGGCCAGATGTGTTTGGCCATTTTTCCCCTGTCATCCGATCTGGATCAGGTTCAAAGTCGCTATCATCCATGGGAACTACGCCCTGATTAGAATTAGTGGAGGTCTCCACCGGTTGAGATGTAGAGTTGTACGCATATCTCGTCGTGGCAGTTTGCTTCTCAAATATGATTTCATAAAAGGTCCTTGTGAGGAAGTCCCTTGTGGTAGAATTGTTGCCCCAGTGGGTTTTGCTGGTAATGCAAATGAATAATATATTAATATTTGGCAGTCCGAACAAAAAATGCGTACAATTACAGTGTCGTTGATTAATATTAGTTAAAAAAAGTTGAAAATTTACCTTCACATATTCTTGCCAAACCTTTACGGGACATGTTGGACTTTGCGACTCATGATCCCAACTGAACCCCGTGTGTTGCAGCAATTTCCGCCATGCTTGATATACTCTTCGCAGGCGAAAGTACTTAGAGGTTAGTTGTGTGACGTTGAGTCTCCTCCCAGCCACTGATGATAAGTCGTCCAACAT